GCTGTGGTTTGCTGGAGGCAGAGAAGAGGCAGCGGCATCATTGTGTGCAGAGTGTGCCTCCCTGCTGGTCTGAGCTGCCAGGGTTGATGGGGCTGCCAGGGAAGATGTGGCATAAACATAATAGCTGATTGGTTGCCATGCACAGCTGGTCCAGATTTTGTCTTCTCCAGTTTTGATAAATTCCCTTCAATGCTTCCAGTTAGTGTCTAGTGTTCCAGGTCACATTTTATCAGATCATGTTACATAGGACATGCTGTACTTGATGCCATAGAAAGTCATATGTCCATATGCATATACACCTAACCATACACTGTTCGTTTTTTTTCTTGTTCGAGACTGAACGAGAAAAAACCTCTTGATTCAGGAGATCAGCTGATTCTGCAGGATTTTTTTTTATAAGGGTCTGCTTAAAAGAAAATCGTTTGACTTTAATATCCCTTTAAATTGTGTTTTTCCTTTGCAGTCAAGTTTGAGATAAGCCCTCTACGTGTTTGTTCTGAGATCCTATTTTTTAAATAATTCTTACCTTATAAACGTGTCTGTGGCCTTCGCAAGCTTATCTCTCAATTGCCAAGTGACAGGAAACTCTACCTGTCCCCATAGAAAGACTAAGGACTTGCTTTCGTATGTACATAACATGCTGGGTTGCCTAATAAGAATGCAAAAGACTTGCAGAGCACACTTGTTGGCTGCTACTGAAGACTGAAAATCTGTATGGCCCCATTTCTGAGGTCGGTATATCCCTCCATATTCAGCTGTGTGTGTAATCTGAATCCCTGATATTTTGCACTATATTCAAAGCAATCGGAAACACTATGGGAGGGATTTACTAAAACTAAAGCAGACATAATTTGGAGCAGCTGTGCATAATAACCAGTCAGCTTCTCTCTTCAGCTTGTTCAGTAAAGGTGGCCATACACTCTACAACCATCGCAAGACTTTAGTCTTGCGATGGTTGTAAAGGGATTAAAAAAACGTACAATCTGCCTATCTTGGACAGGCAGATCGCACTCTCGATCATCGCAAGCCCACCCCCCTGAGGGGCGTGCTTCCGATGACCGCAATGCTGAACGGGCAGTGTGCGCGTGCGCACACCGGCCCGTTCAGCATTTATCTTCCGAGCACCGTTCTAACCAGCCGAGAATCGTACGATTCCCGGCTGGTTTTCGAACATGCTGGTTCAACAGAAGACGTGCGACCGTACAGTCGAAACGGTTGCACGTCTCCGTTCACACTGCTCGATTATCGTACGAAAAACCGATCGCATACGATTATCGTACGATAATCGTGCAGTGTATGGGCACCTTTAGGCTTTAAAAATGAAAGCTAAAAATTGATTGGCTGCCATGCACAGCTGCTCCAGATTTTGTCTGTTTCAGCCTTAGTAAATTCCCCTCTATGTATATTATATAACACCTGAATTCAGATTTAGATGACTTGGGGCCTTTTTACATAACAATGTTGCAGTATAGCAAGATATCACACATCCACTTTATTTTGAGTAGGGATGGACTAGTTTTTCAGTATTGAGTACCGATATTTTTCTTTCGCCGATACCGAATACTGATTCTGGCATCCCAAGGTACTGTGGGCACGGTTAATCAGGAAGTTAGGCGGCAGGTTATGACCCACTGCCTGGGCACGGTTAATCAGGAAGTTAGGCGGCAGGTTATGACCCACTGCCTGGTTTCCTGATTGCCTGGAAAGCAGGTGTTCTATGGAAAAAAAACAGGTTTCATGCTCCCTCGTGACACTGTGAGGCAGCATGGCTTCCTGACAAATCAGACAGCCGGGTGGCACGTCATGACCCGCCTCCTGATTGCCTTGCACTGTGGCTAGAAAGCGTGAAGCTGGCTTCCCGATTGGCTAGGAAGCTGGCTGCAAGCTGCCTCGCAACACTGCTATTCCCACTGACCAGAAGTTACAGTATATAGGTATCAGAGAATTTGAGCGAGTACGAATACTAGGTTTTGGTGCATCCCTAATTTTGAGTGTGACCCAACTACAGGCTCAGAACACTGCTGGGTTTGCAAATGTCTGACACAGATCAGCCCCCCGCTGGGGCCTCTCACCTAGTAACTTAATACAAGGTTAAAATGTTGCAGTCTAATCACTGAGGGAGAAGAGACAGAGAAAAAGCTAGCTCCTGTCTGAGGTAGACTGATAAAATGATCTCAGCCTTGGCAAAGTCACTTGACTAAAGCATGAAAACTGCTGATTCTGATAAAAGGTATACATTTATATTTAAATCTTGATACCACTTCTGTACATTTTGACATGCCAGGAATTTATTTCTGCAGCCTTGGAGCGTTACTAAGAGGTCCACTTTAAGAAATGTATTTTATAAAGAAGCATACTATTATCTGCTAATTGCTAGTAGTTTATCTACAACACTCCTCACGTTCTCAGGATGTCGTACTCTGTGTTTTCCAAGCAAGCCCATGTTTACAGAACACAGGACCTAATTATAGCAGCTGAGACTAGATATCAAGTCAATGCCAATTTAATATCAGTGTAAAGTAAGCAAATTCCCCAGAGAATATAAAACCCCTGTGTAACATAGCAACCGGTAAGGGTTTCAGTGCATCATAGTTAGCCACGATTATTTAGCCCTAATTGCTTAGAAATCTTGAACGATACATTGACCTGAAGCTCACAACTTTCTTCTGTACTTGCAGACCTGGCCTTGTTCTGAGGTCTTCTGGAAATGTAATGTAATGTAAGAAAACAGTTGGGTTGCTATCATGATAAAGGAAACTTATGCCAAGAGGATCACATGGGCTGACGTTGTTGACCATTTCTTCTGAAAATGCTAGCTGCTGGTTTGTGCTGCTGATCCCCTGGCTCCAGTACTTTACCAGTCAGTAAACTGGGTTGAGACTGGTGATTGGGAGTTCTGATTTTACTTGTTCTGGATCAATGAATCAGGAAGTAGTGAAGATGGAGGCAGCAAGACTAGTCCTCTCAGGTGTCCCTGCCTTCAATACTTTACTAGTCAGTGAATCGGGATGAGACTGGTGATTGGGAGTTCTGGTTTTACCTGCTGCATAGTTGTTCTGGATTAATGAATCAGGAAGCAGTGAAGATGGAGACAGCAAGACAACTAGTCCTCCCAGATGTCCCCGCCTTCAATAGTTTACTAGTCAGTGAACAGGGATGAGACTGGTGATTGGAAGTTCTGGTTTTACTTGCCACATACTTGTTCGGGGTCATGAAGTCGGGGTGTAGTCAAGATGGAGACAGCAAGACAACTAGTCTTTTCTGATGGAAGTCATCAATGACAGACCTAATTCTCAGCACAGAGTTCCTTTAAAGCGCAAATAAAGCTTCCGCCAAAGCATTTGCTAATTGCTAGGCTTTATATGGCAGAAGAGGCTGTGTAAGTCTCCGCGGCCATAAGTTTCTTTCTAGCTTGTTTCTAGTGGTTATCAATTGTTTTCCTGTGCAGACTCTGCATGCATTGGAGTTATCGGTGCCCTGCCAATCAAGTGCCGAAGAATCAGAGGACCAAGCTGAAGACAGAAGCGATGGAAAGGTAGAATGTTGTGCTGGAGGGATGGGTTTGGCAGGCATGTCTGCCATAATGTGCTAATAAGCTGTCCATAATAACACATTATGGCTAAAAGCTCCAGGTAGGATTTATATTTATTTGCCTTTACTGCTGCTTTAAAGTGATCCTGTCACCATCTAACACAGGGATGGGCAATTCCAGCCATCCAGCTGTGCTTTAACTACAAATCCAGTCATGCATCTGTCTCTGTGAGTCTTGCAATGCCTCATGGGACTTGTAGTTCCACAACAGCTGGAGGGCCAGAGTTATTATTGTTGCTTTTCACATATTTATTGGCGAGTGTTGGAGGTTTCCTCAAGAAGACTGCAAGAAGCTGCTTTTTCTCCCAGACCTGGGCATCACCAGGACTGCTGGCCACATTCTGTGAAGCCTGGAGTGTTATGTAATGAGCAAAAACAGTGATGCATCAGTGGAAGCACTACTCAGCCTGTATACTGCTAGTGACAGCAGTTTCTCCAATACACCGTTTTAGGCACATGTAATGACAGGACAGAAGCTTCACCTGAGCGAGCCTCTGCACAGCCAATGAACATATTTCCTCTGCCTGTGACCAACACCAGCATACCTTCACTCAACACTGTCAATCTAGTTTTGTCCAATAAAGAAGCTCTCTCCAGGTCAAAAATAGAACTTTATTATTTTAAGGATTCTAGCAAAAGGCATGGCAGAGTCTTACCTGCTTTTTTTCATAGCTACCAAGGTGGATCATACTAGTCAAACTACTCAACGTGAGTGCTTAGCAAAAGGGTTTGCCTACCAGAATCACGTGATCAGTTCCTGTGTTCTAATATGAGAAACAGTGCAGCACAGGCTCCTGCGGAAATGTGCAGGCACCTTTGAAAAGTTTAGCAACCAATATAAAAGGCTCACTGTAGATAATGTATGTAAGGCTACATTTGAACCTACCAAAAAGCAGCGGCAGGAATTCCAAATCTTCCATTCACAAGCAGCAGCTGTCAAATTAATGATCGGGTGACAGCGGCCACATTGTCAACAGAAAATTTGGAAATCCTGCGGCAGGAACTTACAAGTACCAAATTGCACTTACTTGGTAGGTGTGCATGAAGCCTACATTTCTGTGTATGCCTGAAATGTTACCCTAAGCTCTGTGCTGTCTTGTGGGAAAAGAAGTGAGAAGGTTACAGGAGTAAGTGGATGTGAATGCTGGGAAATCATTATTTCAAAAATGTAGAATACTGAATTTGAACATTAAATTGGCAGCTTTAGAAAAACATAGCGGCTGCACGTTTAAGTGGAAGATGTCATTATATATAATTCAAATACAAAATAGCTTTTTTTAGCAATCATACATTTTTTTTCCCCAATGAAAGTGTACAAACAATCAAAAAGCATAAAAAGTACAAATAAAATGTGTTATTTGTGGGGGGGGAAGAATCATTTGTGCAAACGTTTAAGAATGATTCCTTAATGATTCCAACTAAATCCTTTTATTTGGCAGTGTAAGATCCGATTAGAAGGTGTAGGCTACAGCGTGAATCTTTGTATGCCTACAAAACCCGAGACAACGCAAAAAGTGAACATTCTTTAAAGCTTATGTTTTACCTTTACAACGTTAAAACATTTTGTCAGAAAATACATACAAAACATACACATTTAAAGATTACAGTCACTACGCATACAGTAACATTCTGATTAGACATTCCATCAACACTGCTTGCAGCAGATTTATTTAAATTATCTGTAACATTGAGGCAATAATGGCAGTTATGTACAGTAGATTTCAGAAATCAAAATGGTTTAAAGAATCATTACATCATGTTCTGAAAACAGGAAACAAAACAAGTTGCAGCATTTTAATTTACAAAGAACTCTCAAATACTGAACTCTAGAGAGATTTCCTATTCTTTAGATTTTTAAATTTTAATAACCAGTCATTAGAACAAAAATATCTGTAATTATAGAAAATGTCAGGCTGCACAGGTAATTACAAAGCCCAAAAATATATATATATTTTTCTCTTTCTTCCTATGAAAGTTACAGGGATATTATATATCAATATATACTTTAATTTAACAAAACTTAAAACTGGTACATGTGGAGGAGGAAGCCGGTAAGAACGATTCTTGGCACCGTGTCTAGTCCTCGGGTAATGATTGTGAGAAAGTTGGATGGCTGATTTGTGATTTTCCATTAATGGAAATGGTGCTAGAGCGGATAGTGATCTAGAAAAAGAGGAGGGAGGGGGAAATAATACATTTATAGCACTGGATTATTTAAATAACAGAATTGAACTCTTTATATAAAAGTAGAACAAACAAATGTTATCCAAAAATTCACTAGCGTATGGCCACCCCCCCATAGACCACCCAGTACTTTTCAGCAGAGTATGACAGAAACCTGCTTACTTTGTAGGCAGCACTTATACCCTTTTTGCCCAAAACCAACACTTGAGGCTGGGATCCAGCCCTCCCCTGAGGTTCTACCCCCAATACCACCCTCCCTCAAACTATCCCTCTTTTACCTTGTTCACTCTCTTCTTTTTCAGTTACAATAAAACTCTCTTTCCTCGCCATTAAAAAAACAATTTTCAAACTCCTATAAGCCATTACTGGCACTGACACATAAACCATAACAAAATCTGACATATGTATTACTGCCCCTATAAGTTTATGGATGTTTATAGTATGATGATTTATAGTATGATGATACTTGAGTGTATGTTGGTGTATGTGATGTGCTATTATTACTTTAAGGCACCTGTGTTGGGTTTGCTCATCAATGTAATACTCCAACTCCAAACATTGCTGGTCATACCAGTTTGGGTGTGCCCAAAACATTTTAGTCTTAATAGATACGTTTAAATACAGATGTAGACATAACATTGTTGGCTGAATTTATAATTCTATTGGCAATACTGTAGAGGTTTTGGGTATTTTAAAAGCAGCAATGTGAAAGTTGTACAGTATCTGTACCACATCCAAAAACACTTCATCCAAAATGTCTGCTTTGTGGGAGACAGACACTGGTTAACCCCATAATGTAAAGGTAAAACAATCCTTAACATGCCTGTACTAAAAGGGGACCCTGGTGTCATAGCCAATATCCTACATGTACCCAAAGTGTACCCGTGTGTCACAGCCACTATTCCATGTGTCTGATTTATACCCATGTCAAATGAAATCCCACCTTCCTCATTGTATCCTCATTCTCTCCCTCTGTCTGTATGAACCCTCTGAGCAGTGTCTTTGTGGTCACCACTGAGGGCAGGTTCACACCATTTTCCGGACCAGATCTGGAACACAGTGCATTGCGTTTTTATCACGTTTTTACAGCAATTGTAATTTTTCTTTGGTCTTACAGGTGCGTTCCAGTGCGTTTGTATGCGTTTATGATGTGTTTTTATGCGTTCCAGTGCATTCCAGACCAGACAAAATAGGACAAGCAGTATTTTTCTGGTCTGGCATGGAACGGACTGTACTAGTGTGAATAGAGGCCAGAAATAGCAAATAGGGATACATTAGGATGCATTTTGGGTCCGGTAACAATCTGGTCTGGAGATGATCCGGACATGGTGTGAATGGGCCCCGAGACATTTTTTAATCTTGGCATCACCTGTTCAGCCCTAGGATGACTCACTGATATTTTCTAACAATAAAATAACAGATTCATACAGAGATGTCAGACCAGCTGGTATAAGCTATATGCTGCCAGGGACCTTCATTACAGAAGGTAAAACATACACCAATTTCCAACAGCTGATGTCACACGGCGCTACCAAATCACATGATTATTGTGATGGGCTGTCACAGTGATTACGGGATCAGAAGCCCCTTCTTCCGCCTCCAATCATCACTTTGTCCCCAGGAACACTTGGTGACGTGACCATGTGGTCTCAGTGATGGGGAGCACAATTGGGTGCACTTCCAACACAAAGCAATACCCACCACCATGGTGCCACATAAATGCGTACAGCTGATGGGAAGGGGTTTATGAACTTGTGTTGCATTTGTGCATCTGACAATGGCAAATAGTCCCTGGTGTCACATTATGACAACTAACTTATCAAGTAAAATAAAATGCCATTGGTGTGGCATTACGGTAGTGCCTGTGCTATAATTGGCCCATGTAGTACTAAACAGGGGTTTCTATTTTGTTATCAACTAAATCTTTCAAAACAAAACTCTGAATAATTTAAATAGGCAGATTTGTTTTAGTAAAAAATAATAAATAGTAATATATGAGAAACTAAATTAAAATATTTTCCACTGAATTATCAAAGCAGTTTATTTGCAAATGAGTGTGGGAGCGGGACAGCCATTAAAATAAATACATGCACAATTACTTTTTGAGCATATTTACTACACATTATCAGCTTTATATTACGAAAGACGTTTAGCTTTTGAAGTCATTGCATTGGTGACCATGTTACTTAAGCTGCACTCACACCAGGAGACTATAGTAGCACGATCTACAACTATACACCTGCTTATCGTGTTGCGTTAGTAAACAGGCTTAAAAAATAGTGCAGAAATGTGAAAAGTCAAATTCCATCAAGCATAGGTAATGTAAAGTTCATATTTAATTAAAAAGCACTGAGGATTATGTCTGACATTTAAATACGTCTCTGCTCACAAGACCTGCAGAACATTGGGCTTGACATTAGTGGAAAGCACAGTCAGACCAAAGTGAACTATTTTTCTTCTAAAAAAAAAAAATGGGGGCCATTATTTAAACTTTTGACAAGTTTATATTTTAGCCAAACTGGTTATATGTACATGTGACATATGAGGTAACCTACTGATAATGCCGGCCTTAACCGATTCCAAACTAAACCAAACTGGTTTACAAGTTAAAGGTCTAACCACAATAGTATAAAGAGAAATAGTATTCTCAGACATACTGAATGTTCAATGTCAATGTAAATACATATGTCCTCAAAACTGGAGCAAGTTACTTTTGTCAAATATTGTAAGCCAAAGATTCTATTGCATTGGCTCGGAAGCCATGTTGATTGGGGCATATGTGAATAATAGACATCTAATTTCAATGACCTCCCTGAAGTGGTAACCTTCAATTCGTTTTTAAAGCATTGACGTTTCCTGATGACCATGCCATCAATCTCTGAAATAGAGAAGAGATCTTCTCAGTGAATTCTCTGTGAGCTATAAGAAACCATCATTCAACCCTTTGATACCTAAAATTGAATTTATCAGGTGGTGTGGGCACCTCTCCTGCTGCCCACTCCACCAATCTCTGCTGTAGTAAAGAGAAACCACCTGCTAAAGATCCTGCAGTATCGAACACTTTAATAGTATTGATTTCCTGGTCCCCAATTAAGTGTTATAGTTCCTTTCGCCAGACCCTACATCATTACAGGACTCAGTAGGGATGTAGGAGATGGCAGATCAAACCACTGAGCACAGCATTGGACCAGAAAATAGATTATGTAAGATCATCAACAGGCGGTTTCTCTTTACCTTTGCAGAGATCGGTGGTCAGCAGGAGGGTAGTATATTTAAGGTCATCTTTACATGGAGTCTGGTAGATTTAGTTTAATGCATTAATTGGCTGAACAATCCTGCAATAGTCTGGCCTCTGCCCTCTCCAACAATGCCTTTACAATCCAGAGCTAATCCTACCCTCCTCCTCAGTAATTACTTTCTGCCACTACTTTGCCTCCCCACACTACTTTCAAAGTTGAATGGCAGTCATCGTCATTCATCCCACTTCCTCCACCACCAGAGGAGAAGAGGAAGAATCCATGACGTGCAATAAAGCTTTTTGAAAAAAAAGTGGGGGGAGGGGAGGACGAGACTTTACATTAGACAGAGTTTAGCTTTTAAAGGAGAACTATGGGGTCAGTGTTTTTCCCCATAGTTCTCCTTAGGGTAACGGGAGGACACAAACTAGCGTCCTCCCGTTACCCTAAGCCCTATACTGAGACGCCGCAGCCGGAGCGGATCCCAACCTGGACGTCGGGATCCGCCCAGCTGCGTGAGTGACAGCTGGCTCTGCCTATCTAGAGGCAGAGCCAGCTGTACCCACCCCTCCCCCGTCCGTTCTGCCAGTCAGCGCTGGCAGATCGGAGAGAGAGGGGAATCCAGCCCCTCCCCCTGTAACGGCAGAGAGCCGTGACAGAATCGAGAGGTGAGCGAACCCGGTATGTGTTCGCTCACCTCCCGATCTACTGAGCCAACCTGTGACAGTCTCATTGTCACAGGTCGGCTAGAACTGTGAGGTGAGTGGAAATCACTCATCTCATAGTTCTTCTTTAAGTACATCTAAAGTCAAAACTTTCTTTTTCAGTTTTCCATAGAGTGGAGAAAAGTTAGCACCCTGTCAGGCATTTATTGCTTTCCTTGTTGGGTACATTCATCCCTCTCTGGTGACCATTGCCACCTCAGCAAAAAGTGAGGCAAAATGCTAAATTTTGAGTTATCGGAACAGGAATAGAGGTAAAATCATTCATTTGGGGACAGTCGCAGTGATAATTGGCTAAGAGAGGATTACCCTCACGTTGGATAGATTTCCTCTCACTTCCTGTTGTGTGGTTATGTGTACAGGACATAATGTGAAGGGAATATTCCCAATAGGAAACAGATGGTCAAAAAAGAAACCCAACAGATGCTTCGACCATTTCCTGTTCTATAAAAAACTAAAAAGTTTTGTCTTTAGATATCTTTTAATATGTTTGAATGGACCACTGGTTGAAATGAGAAAAACACAATTGTTTAACCTTCTACAGAGATCACTATAGATAAAGGGAGAAGCAAGGTCAGTGGGTTCCAGAGGCCTCCACAATTCGGGCTTTCCCCTAGAAAGGTATGTGAATCCTAAAACAAGGAACTCAAGGCACAAAAACTTGAATCGAAATATACTCCTCAATAGCCACAATGGATGTAAATCCACTTTGTGCGCTTCAAATGCCTTAGCAAACCAATATATCTTTCACATCATCACTGTGTGCAAAAAGCAAAGCTATGGGAGGGACCCAGCAGGCCCCACCCACTACAGACTGCGTGCAGAAAACTACAGGAAGGGGGCAGATACAAGACCAGTCACCCAGGAAAAAAAAGCAGCAGTGACCGGTCTTTATTTACAGGAAGCTCCTGCACATAGGTAAGGTTTCACACTGGATAACTGCACTGATCTGGAAGAAAAACACAAAGCTCACCAAGATTCAATGAAGAATACGCATGCCTCTTATATTTAGACAATATTAGCTTATCTCACAGTTCAGCTTTAATAACACTGCACTTCATTAATTTCTCTCTGCTCTTCCTGTGAAGTATTTATGGAGTTTATAGAAGATCTGACACTTTTCAAATTGTATTTGTATGTTTGATGAGATGTATGAAATGTTGAAATATACTTAAAACTTTGAGCATCTTTGATCCAAAAGCACATAAATTATTTTTCTCAGTGTTTAATCTCTCGCAAAACTTGCACAAAACTGATCAATGAATAAGTCATTTCAATAGATCATCACAAACGAGTGTAGCACTTATGATGTGCTAAAGACTAAAGAAAACCAAACTAGTTCTGTCCAGGTCCATGCACACTCACGGATGCACTCACCCTTTTCAGCTTGGCAGCTGCCTCTCCTGAGCGAATGGCAGACAGAATGTTTTGGCGGAGCTGTTCTGGGTCAGGGCTTGGAAAAGATACCGTGGTCTTTTTTTCAGGAACAGGAGGCGGACTATGCACTCTGTATTTTAGTGCAGGGGTTAGTGTCTACAAAACAAAATTCCTTGCAGTAACACCATTGAAGAAGTTAACAATATTAATGACAGATCACAAGGCAAAACAAAAACATGTCTTAAGGGCTCATGCACATGGGCTTTATTTTTCACACAGCCATGTAACAAAACATCATAAAATATGCTTACGTATGCTGCGTTTAAAGCTGAACTCCAGGCAGATTAACACATTTTTTTTTTTTTAAATACACAAATTAATGCAGCTCTGTAATAATAAATAAAGCTGAATTTCAATCCACTCATATTTTGCCTGGATCCTCTCTTTCATCTACTCAACATGCTAATGATTTTTCTTTTTTTTTTTTTAAAGCCTTTCCTTGTCCAATAAATACCTCATTTTAGATCTAGTGACATCTCCGTCCTTCTCTAGGACACGGTCAGATTGCAGCTGGTGGGAGGGTCTGGCAGGGTGTTGTACATAGTTTCCTGAAAATATCACTGCACCCTGTCTCAGTATTCAGTCAAATAGAGAGTCCCACTGCACTCCTGACCGAGAAGCGGGGGTGGGGGGTGTTGAAGTGGCCGCGGACGGCGGCGCCAAATACTGGCAAAACAGAATAAATGGTCACCAGCACTCCAAGTTTTCTTCAAAACTAAATTATTTTATTCATTCTAGCAGGTCATATCACCATGTCACTTTTATTTGCCTGATGAAGGGACCGGACACGCATGGCGATATGACCTGCTAGAATCAATGAAAGGATTTAGTTTTTAAGAAAACCTGGAGTGCCATTAACCATTTATTCTGTCCCCCCAGCCCCTAATCTCAAGCAGTGGGCTGGCTCTGGGAGGAGTTATGCAAATATCAATATGCCTTCATGGGCAGTTATCAACTCAGAGGAGTGGGCATTTTTTAGGTAGACTTTGCCTGCAAATTGTCGTAGGTAACACCCACATGTAAGCCTCTATGATTGAAGAAATGATACACATTAAATGAAAGGGGCAGTAACACTGGTTAAGAAAGAGCTAGATGATGCTGATGTCCTACGGCCAAGACATGAGGCGGGCTCTATCTAACATTTTGCAGCTTCTAGCTTCTGTGAAAAGATTACAGCAAAATCAGAGTAAGCTATTTCAGTACAGTAGAGGAGCCTGTACAACTGTGCAAGACTGAAGTTAAGGGCCCATTCACATGGAGTGTTTTGGGATACCTGCAGCAAGAACCTTCTGATTCCTGCAGCAGGAATCCCAGGTGTCCCATTCCGATGCAGCTGCTGTACCTATTGAAATACATGACAGGGTGACATGGTACCATTACATGCAGATAGGAGGAGATCAGAGTGACAGAGAGATGATCTTGGTGGTGGTGCTTGTTCAACTGTGTAAATCTCAGGACTGGATAAACATAAATACAAATCCTTATATGTATTTAATTTGTGCACTTGGTTAGCGGTTTGCTTGGAGTTCAGCTTTGATCACTAGATGTCCTTACAGTAATTTCCATCTCGATTTAAAAGATTGGAGAATGACTTGGACCCCTCCCAAGTCATAATTCATAAGTGAGGACCCTTTGAATTCAGCTGATGAACCAAAGGTATTCCATCACACTAGGTTCCTAGAACATCACATTATGTAAAAAGCAGAGATGCAGTGATTAGATGTCATCATCGGGTGATACGTGAAATCTAGAATAGTAATGTGGACAATGTGAAGGGGCAATAGGGGAGGCCTCTTTTCTTACTCTTTTCTTATTACAGGGAGTGGTTCAGTCTCAAAATGTATGAAACTTGTGAAAAACTTTTCTTGTCAATTTACATATGTATTGACAAACAAGCAATGAATAAACTAACAGAAAAAGCCCATGAGCATGAGGTCCAAGGCTGGGACAACTGTAAGAAAATTAGTAAAAATTAACCTGTGCAAAAAATAAAATGCATTAGTCAAAACGTTTAGAGGACATACTTATTTTAATCATTGTGTCTTAAAAATGCTAGTAGACATCCTACCCAATGGCAAAATAGTTAAATGTAATTTGTCAAGTACCAAGACAGACAATAACAGTTAAGTAGCAAAAGCACTAGTTTCCAAGTGGAGCACAGAATAGGCTTTTGGAATATGCACAGCACCAGATATGGTGGAGTGAATCCAGTGCAGGGTTTGGGATAACAGGAACCATTAACAAAGGAGTAAGGATGGACAAAGTATTGTAGAATGTAAGTGTTAGTCTAATCTATGAGCTTGCTGCCACTTTTAAAGTGGCCTTGTCAGTCGTCTAAATGCAAATAAAATCCAACTGGTGGGTTCCTGCAATAGAAGCGCTATTGTACTCACTTCTGCAGCCAGACTTCAGGAGTCAGTACGGGCTTAAAGTGTAACCTTAGCCACATTTTAGTTTTAGAAGAGAGTAGGGAAGGGTTGGAACCCATGCCTTGATTTTATTGCTCTCTGGAACCTCACTGGAAAGATTAACTGTCTCAATTTGTCCTGATGATTGCTGTCCCTGGGAAAGAAAGTTACATGACATCTAACAGTTTTTTTGGTGTTACCTGAAAGGGAAGTCAGGGGAAATCCTCCAGTGGGGACACCTCTTCCGGGGACAATGGTCTAAGAGGGATTTTTGCCATACATTGGATAGAGTTCCTCTCATTGCCTTTAGTTTCATTAGGACACCTTGGTAGATTAAAGCTATCCAATGGCAAACAGTTTAAAAGCCCTTTAATATCAGAGCAGTGCAGCCCAGGAGTATTAAAAAAAAAAAGTCATATCTTTTTTTCGGTCTTTTGTTTGTCAATATAAGGACATGTTCCTTAGCTCTTTAAAAATGTATGATGGTTCCGAGATTTGACTGACTGGCTCTTGGATTCTATATTAATCTGTCCTGTGTATAAATATCACGGGTACTGTGTTGAAATTCATTTACCAGGTCAGTCTCGGAAAGGTCTGTTATCTATGGGAAGATGCAGGTAGCTTCTGGGAGTTTATGGATTTCACTCTGTTAATGACAATAACGCTTTAACAGTCTTCGTGAGGGAATATCCACTTTTTTTTTTTAGGATTCCCATGACTGCTGCTGTCTCTACTCAAACTTTGATCAATAAATTATATGCTAAAGAAATAAATTCAGTAGGTGAAATTTTTTTGACTTTTTGCTTAACATATCCCAGGGAATTTTACAGAAAGAGGAGCTAGGAAATATCTTAAAGTGAACCTATGCTTTGTACATGTAAGGAAAAGCAGGTTCACTTTTATGCTACCTTCCCCAGCAGCACATACCTTCCTTTTACTCGCTGCCACTCCATTCAGCTGCTGGCATTGAGAAATGGAAGCTCTGAATCACTATACTCAGAGCTTACAGAGGACTGAGGATTGTTACACGATCCCCATGTGACAGTACTGAGCCAATCACGAAGCAGCATTGGGAGCCAAGAGAGTCACATGTTTCTCTATACTCAGAATTGCCAGCATTTCCTATGCTCCTGATTGCTAAATGGAGTGGTGGGGCAGCATACACAGGGTGAGTCTGTATTGCCTTGGAGGGGGGGCATTAAAGGCAAACTAGTTGCTTTGCGCTACTGACAAGTACAGAAGCTTGGTGGACAGGTGTTTAGAGAGATGCCAAGTATACTAAACAAAGTCAAAGAATGTAATGAAAATAAAAATACAACTGCATGCGGGCACCAAAGGTTCCAGATTGTACCTGCACTATGACATTTTGCCTTCCTAGGGCGCTACTGGAGCCCCCATAGTTGTCCTATGCAGATAATGAACATCCGATTGTTGGTAATTAATCAAAACACATGTCATGAGCACTGCATTGTGGGGTCATGAGCGCTGCATTGTGGGATAATGAAGGGAGTGTTTCTATTCTTCATACTTGGAAGTGGAAAATATTTGGGGAATCCAGTGTCATCCTGGGCAGGCAAAATTTCAGGTCAAGGTGCCTACTAACCAATATTTGAAGACAACACAGGTTACTTAAGAGGAAAAATGGTCTTAAAAAAAGATTACATCTCCAAATATAAGCTAATGACAATTTTGTTGTTTCAGAAGATGTAATATAAAACCTTAGATCATAGGTTAAACTTTACATTCCCAAATGTTTTAATTGGCCTCCCTTAAATCAACATCATGGGTATAAGGTACTTTCAATCAACAGACTAAATCAGAACTGGAGCATGGAGAACAGGAAGGGAATCTACTGGTTAAAATTAGCTCTTTTGTTCCTGCTTAAAAGGAGAACTATGGGGTCAGGACTTTTCCCCATAGTTCTCCTAAGGGTAACGGGAGGACACAAACTAGCTTCCTCCAGTCACCCAAAGCTCAGTATACCGAGAAGCCGCAGCCGGGACGTATCCCGACATTACTGTCGAGGTCCACCCAGCTGCGGGATTGACAGCTGGCTCTGCCCATCTAGAGGCAGAGCCAGCTGTACCCGCCCCCTCCCCCATCCGTTCCACCATTAAGCGCTGGAGGATCAGACAGGGGAGGGGGGAATACCTGCAGGGAGGCGGTATGTGTTTGCTCACTTCCCGATCTATTGAGCCGACCTGTGACAGTTTCATTGTCACAGGTCGGCTAGAACTATGAGGCTGAGTGATTTTTACTCACCTCATAGTTCTCCTTTAAGATAGGTTAGCTACAGCATGCTAAAGAGAAATGTCCCACACAAGTTCTAATATTTGAGAAGTCTTCTACATGTGTATAACCATCAATAGAATGGCAACTCAAAAAAATATATTAAAATTATGTTAAAAAGCATACCAAATGACAAATACACACACATGCGCGCACACCCTTTTTTGAAAAAGTTAATCAAGTATAGATATATATACATATAAAAATAAACATAAATTATAGCAAAATTAACTATTTTCAGTATACCAGGTATTACCTCATTTTCTGTGATTTCCTCTAAACTGACAGAGAAGTCCGGGGAATCTTTCTTGAAATCAACTGGTGAAGTGACTGGTGACCAACCAATGGGACCATCCACATTTAAAGGCTGTTTCACAGGCGAGATACTAGAATTGAATGACTGAGATCGTTTAACAGATGATGTAACAGAAGAAGAAAAAGGATTGGTATTTGTACTTGTAAAAGGCTTGGGAGTGACAAAAGTGCTTAATTTCTGGAAGCTCAATGGAGCAGACTGGCCAGTTGGAGAACTCAAAGTTCTGGTCAGCTTGCTAGATGTTGTTGTTGAAAGAACATCGGCTTTATAATCCTGTTGGACAACTTGTGTGCCGGCACGGTAGATTTCTGGTATGGTGTTGGTCAATTCGGAAAATTTCACTTGCAGAGGTGGCTCAACATCCTGGATCCTATTTTCTTGGAACCACACATGCTTTTTGTGTTCTGCCAACACACCGACAGAAGATACTTCTTTGTGTACTAGATTAACATGGCTTTCTGGGGAAGAATGTGAAGCACTGATTTTGTTTTCCGTTTCAAAATTACCTTCATGAATTGCTCCAAGACCACCATTTTTGACCTCAGGTCTCTCCACTAATTGCAATCTATCTCCAGGTAACTTTTCCTCAAAGCTAGAAGTCATGTTTACTACATTAATTCTAGATGGCAGTGTTTTAATGGTAATCTGAGAGGCTTCATTTCCTAGATCTTTAGGTTTAGCCGTACTGTTTGCCACACTAGAAGAAGACTTGGTCTTGGCAATTGCAGACGTGACGTACATACTTGAAGCCCTCCTCTGCATTTGAAGGTAAAAGGAACTAGGGCCTTTGACTGGGCTTGTTGGTTTCGGCTTTGGTTTGACCTCAGGAGCAGTTTTATTTGTGCTTAAAACAGGGGCTGCAGATACATTTCTAGATAAGGCAAGGTGGTCTCTTTCACTTGGCCCAGCAACAGTTTTTGAAGCAGTACTGATAGAGTAAGTAGATGATCCTTCCGGTGAATGGTCTCCATTTTTTACTTCTGATAAAAGTATATGCTTTTCACCTAAAGGTGATGTAGCGTTGCTATTTGTAACAGTATGACTTATCATATGCTCATTCACTGGTCTGTACTCATTGTTGTGGACATCCTGTGGACTTTCAGATTCCATATATCGCTCTACATCAAATGATCTCTGAGGTACAATTTTGTAAGTGGTCATTCCGATCTTGGGAAGGTAGTCTCTGGTAATTTCGTTGGAAGGCTTGGGCTTGGGATCAGAATGCTGTCTATAAAATGGCAATGTTTTTGATTGTGAATTACGAGAACCCTCAATAGTGCTTTCTTCAATGGTCTGTGTGTGCATACTTTGCCTGAGATTGTCAACAAGATCCTCCTTACTTGGTTCTTTCCCAGTTACAACCATCTGCTGGCCATTAAACTGTGTCAGCTGACCTGCATGACCATTCGGTATATGCTGGACATTGTTGGTGCTACTCACAGTTGTTAGGAAAGTTGATTCCCGAGAATGTGAAAACTCCTCTGCAATTGTTTCTGCGTCATTGTCAAAATTAACAGTCTGGACAGCTGAATCCTGAGTTTTTCCCTTTTCTGTGGTGTTGATCTTCAGATCCTCATGCGTTTCAGTCTCTGTAATGTGGCGGTAATTTTGAAAAACAATATTTGTATCTTTGGTGTGTTGTTCAGAGGATAGCGTTTGAGAGCCCTGCTCCGTAACTACTGTTTTAGTTCCAAATATTTGAATGTTCTCTACTTCTGCAGTCGGGGTTGAAGTTCTATTTTCACGTTCACCTATATAATAATAGAACACAGGCTTTGACATACCAATGCTGGCATCATCAAACAATAATGCATATTTGTAACATCACATATCCTTGAGCTATATATCTAAACATCTTAAATGATTCGGATAAAGACCTTTACACAAAATATGCTTCTAAAGCAATGTAAGGGCTAGCTTTACATTTTCCTTCACAACAGCCATTTTCCATACGTCACCCAAGAGGTGTCAAATGGAAACCTCTAGCCATGCATGCATATCATCCATGGAAAATATATCTTTGAACATTTACATACCTTGCGTCAGAAATGTTAAGCTGGAGAGACTAAATAAAGGCTATTGTCGGAGCTTTGTGTTTTATATCTGAATGTTTCTACCATTACATTACCCTTTTTTTACATTTAAGGGTAATTCCAGTTTCCCACCAAATGTGGGAAACTGAAATTACCCCCACATGGGGTGATTTCAGTTTCTCACTTTTTGTGGGAAACTGGAATTACCCTTTAAAGAAACTCCATCAACCAACTGTTGAAATGAATGGTCTAGCATCAGAGTCTCTATCTGTGAAAATTAATCAGCTGTTGTGAGAATGGGGCAAATGTTGTTAGGCTACTTTCTCTTCTAGTCAAATGCACTTGAAATATTAAGGGCCATAGTAAAAATAGGTTCATTCATAAAGAACTAAGTGAATTGGGAAAATACTCCAATATGGCCACTAAATGTAATTGAGGATCTTAGGAAACAGATACCTCTTAGTAACAAGGGATACTATACAACAATCCCATAAAATGCTGGAGGGACGAAGCTAATAAATGCATACTACGGGGGGTAGGCGTTCTTCTAGAATCTATTTGCATTTCCAAAAGGTTTAAAGGACATGTTTACTTCAGAATAAATACTCCACACAGCTCCCCCTTCTTAGTCCACTAACCTATTTCAAACGACCCCCCCAGGTGTCTACTTACCTCTTTAGAACGCAATTACAGCCTCAGTGTAAAAAATGTGGTTGGAAGCCACCCAGTAACTTCAATTGGGCTTATATAGGCTTCACCTGTACTAGAGCAGCACCAGGGGCCGTTGTTAGGCGGCTAGGAATGGGGGCAAGGAAGTTTTTATTCTAATGTTAACCTTCCTTTAATCGACATCTAAACTGAACAATTGCTGAGATCACAGGGCAAATCACATAGAGAGTTTTATTATTTATGTTAAGCTAATTACAGTAACGTGTTCTTGTCTTGGTTGCTGCCTGCTATTAAACAGAACATTGGATGACCATACTTACAAATCTTATCATATTCAAGTGTTGTATTTTCCATCACCGCATCATCTCTTGACAAAAGGCTTGACCTGCACATCAATGATATTACAATATGTTTTAAATGAACAATGCATGAAAAAAAAACATCAGTGTTCTCATACGCATCACATTCAGTCCTAAGTGCAAATCGAATTGATACTCGCAGTTGCTAATTTTTTCTGTCTCTTAATGACATTTGAAGAGAGGACTTTGACCTGAGTTCCCAGCTACTGCTCACTATAGCCACATTGGCGCATCCATTCTATAATGCACAGGATGAAAGGGATGTTTAGTTTCACATTAGGAGGTGGCAGGGAGTAGCTACTGTATCTGATCAATGAAGACAAGGGGATACATAAAAGATTATTTTAAAAAATGTCAACCGAGGATAATAACCAGGTATGAGGGGACCAGCTGACCTTCCTCCACATGACATGGCCAATCACGGGCCCAAACCTTGTCATGTGGGGCGCTGTGAGGTCATCCCTCTGTTTAAACTTCCACACCAGAGCTTAGACAGTCTGAAATGCTACAACGGGGTAGAAGCAAGGTTGCATGGCTACTATGAAAACCTTTCTAAAGGGCAATGCATACACTGTTTGTGTACAGAATGCCCTTAAAAATATATTTACCTGTGGACGGCTCCCCACTTGTCCCAGAAATAGGTGCAAAGCTTGGGATAATATCACAGCCAACCACAGCTCATAAGGTTTATTGCAATGAGCCGTTCATCTCTGATGATAATATTGTCATACATCTGCAGGGATGCAAGATTTTTTGTATTACATAACACTATGCTGGTGATTTATAAACCGTTTGCACAGCAAAAAGCTATGTGAATGAAATTTGCAGCACATTGTGGCCACCAGATTGAGCTGAGGAGCATAGGAATTTCCTATGCACCTCGGCCCCATCTAGTAGCCATGTATAGTGAATCTTGCTCGCATAGCTGTTCACTGTGCAGTTTATAAATCAGCCCATAAGTCTGGTAGCAGACAGACCCTCTCGTTCAGCACTAAGTCTACAGAAGTAACTGGAATGGACTCTGAAAATCAAACAAATCAAGCTGGTAAGAATCTAAAATTAGGTTTGATAAAATCCTTGCAAAGTTGCATTGGGTGCTGGGGCGTGAGGTCATCATACCTGATAATACAACCTCCCACCAACTGCAGTGCATATTACATTGTAGTTAGAAGTCCATTTAATGTTTCTTATACATAAGGACACATGTTAAAGCAGATCTATAACCATCTGTTATAATCTCATATAGGCTATAATGTTTAATTGCAAATTCAAATGTTGATTTTAATCATTTTAAATATGCAGTGTTCATGAAAATAATACCTATTGTTCCTAGTTCTTTATTTATGCATTTCCTGTTATGAAATGGCAACAGTCTATTGTGCTGCTGCTTGTCAACCTGTCAAAGTCAACATTGCCAACCTGTCAATGTAAATGATGGAGACTGCAAATGGCCGTGACAACACACATTGTGGAGGCAGAGTCTACCATGGTCATGATCAGGTAGCCAGTTGACAGCACTGATCTACAGTAAATTATGTAAATGATGCATGTACACAGGAAGTGGCTGAAACAGTTAGGATGAGATCAGCAACACAGACACAAAAAAAGGATGAAACAACTTGACAACAGCATTTTGTGAAAAAGTAAAAACATTGTATCATAGTGTGGTGTAGGATGTTTCAAGAGGGCAGCCATATTTGCTCATTATATATAGAGGCACTGTTTAGTAGTTCTGGACCATGTTGTGCCTTGCTGCTTATCTCATGTCAATTCAAGTGCATCAGATACTGTTTTTGCAATGGATAACTATGACCTCTCTAAAGCCTTTAACGACATGACCAAAAAAGCGGCAAACTCGATGGGCCACTTGGTCTTTTTCTGACAGCACTCATTTATGAAATGCTGTGATAGCCAGAAATCATGTGATATTTACCTAGGCTAAAAGTCAAGTTCAAAGTAAGAACAGTAAAACCAAGCGGCAGTGGGCATTAGGAAGTTAGGCAGAGGGGTTAAGAGCAAGTTCAGGAACTGGAGGGTGGGAAGTCCATATTGAATGTGTTGGTTTGGGTTTTAATTAAATGTATTGACAGGTGCTTTCATGATAGGCCAACTTTAGGCAAAGCTATAATGCAACTTGGCGTGACATTCCCAGACAACAAGGATTTTGGTACACAGGTCACCTTGGCAGAAGTAGTGGCCTAGAGCAGGAGAGTAATGTCTGTGGTAAAATAAACAGCTTAACACAGGTAGCTTGTGGTCATGTTAGCATCTAATTTTGTCTTTTTAGAGAAATATACGATTTACAAAGCAGCACAATCATCTATTGTCTTCAACTGGAAGCAGATTTTCCCCTTTATTAGTGCGGAGATCTGATGACTACGATGGGTTACAACAGTACAAACATTAGTCTTGATGTTCATATGGATGAAGGCTATGTTAAATGCTACACTAAAGACACGAAATCATTTGTCCAATACTTACGTGCCATCTGTGATGATCTCATCTTCTGAAATCTTGGAGAGATTTTCATAATTGGAAACCATAGAAGAACTGTGCAATTCTGAACTTGTAATTTCTTCTGTGACCAGTGTTTCCACACGTTCTTCTGATGAAGATATACTTATGCCTTTCTTGATGAAACCAGTGGCTTCTTCCTTTAAGGAGGTATTCTCCTCTAACTTCAGAGAGACACTTGACTCATTCTTCTCCTCCACCCTCTGCTGATCTAACTCAGGAACTACATCTGCTGCAACCAACAGGATTGAAGGATAATTAATTTGGGCATTATAGAGTTCTGGCACCACCACAAAAATGCCTGGCCTCACTACATTCGAGTCACAGTCCTTTAAATGAGTGTTAGAATTCCTTATCTCTATCATTGTTCAAGGTTAGTGATTCCGAGACCACTGAGGCCAGTGCAATAGCATGACAGACAGTCAACTAACATTCTTTATAGGAGAGGTCAGGAATGGCATCTCCCATATTTCTATTCTTATAGATTCACTTTAAAGTGTATGTATAGCCAAAACCTTTTTTCAGTTTTGAATAGATTAAGGGATGTTTGAAAACTCTTTCAAGCTTGTATTGCTGCGTATGGCCCCTGCTGGGGAGATCATCCTTCCTTTTTGTCCTGGTTACCACTGTCACCAAGAGAAAAAGTTACTGTGAACCCAAAATTTTAGAGGTGTCACCAGAACGAGAGGCGAGGAGACACCTTCAAAGAGGACATCTGTTCTGGTTACAAGTGTCTCACTTTGTAGAGATTTCCTCTCACTTCCTGTTGTGTCTTTGGGAAATAAAGGAAGCTCTCCCAAAGGTACAGACAGCAAAGAATAAACTGGAGGAGGGGGGTGGGGGTTGGGGGTTACCCATCCGCTATTTTATTACATTACACCTTTAACAAGGTATCAAGCAGGAGGAATAAAACATAAGACAAGGTACACCGACAGATTCAACTCAGATGCCGACATTTTTTCCAAAACGAAATACTAGTTTGGGACGAACATAAGTCCTGTACACATGGGTAGTATACATTACTCATGCCTTCTAAGCACTATGCAGGCACTGGGGCTGAAGAGATATATTGATCCAAATGTCTCAATAAACACACTCATCAAAAAGTGTTCCTCTAATGCAGTGTATCTGTAAAAAATAAGCCAAGGCAACTGGACGTTTCACTGGTCATCCAACCAGCTTTGTCAATTCAGAATCACTTGCTACGTATGTCATTCTGAATTGAGAAAGCTGGTTGGATGACCAGTGAAACGTCTTCAAGAAAAATACAGCAAGTCCAGTTGCCTCGACTTATTTTTTACAGATATACCATGACCTAGATGAATGAGAGCCTTCACAGACTCTAATGCAGTGTACTGACACAAACCCACTCAAGATTTATACTTTGGTTTATGCCTTTTTTTTTATATGAGCATGCACTGTGAGTTGCTGGTTGGCTTATTTTGGGAGTAGCAGCGGTCATTCTCCCCTCCAATCCACCCACGACTGGGAGGTTAAAAAAAAAGCTACATTGGACTATTCTTTGGTATGTGCATCTTCCTTGATGGTTATACCTTTGCAATACAGCTTTAAAAAGCACACAAACAATTGTGTGAATAAGCCCCTTTGCTGGAAGCAATAGATGTAGTAAAACATCAAACCTCTTTGTAGTCAATGTTTCCCAATATTGCCAAACCTGCCATTTACATAATATCCAGCAGGTGGCGCCAATAGACTAGGAATCATGAAGCTGATGCGAGATATCGTCACACATTTAGTAAGAGGAACAAATAGCAACCAATTAGAAATTACTTAACCAACTACAGTAGACAAAAGTACTTTTTTAAATTAGTATGCATGTGTTTACAGGTTTTGATAATATGTTACATATTACAGTGAAAAGATAAGCATTTGCTGGGACAGATATTTTAGTTTTCTAGAAAACTACTTAAAAAAAAAAAAAAAAAAAACTTGGATTCTCTTAGTTACTCTTATTAAATAAATGATAATATTAGCGAAGATAATATCTTTAGCATTAAGGGCCAGTTCACACATGCAGCATTTTACAGAGAAACATGCGTTTTATTGCGCTGGATCAACACAGGTCACCGCTAGGACACATAGAAGCCATCGTGTTCTATGTGCTCTGCTCACACCACAACGTGGGGGGTAATGGGCGGTGTGCTGCAACATGCTTCATCATGCTAGTGTGAACGGGCCCTTAAAGTTTGTTTTCCTACAGGAACTGGAGCACATTACATACAAAACCAAAACACAGAGGCGTCACCATGCTGGGTGTCAAGCGGTGCAGCTGCCGGGTGTCACACGGTGGCACGTAATTACGCGCGCACATAATGACGTCACGCACACTTAACTGCCGGCGGCAATATTGGTGATGGATGTGGCAAAGAGAGGAGGGGACGTTCATCCACCTGGATAAGACATGCCGCCGGGTCCCTTCCTCTCTCGTGCAGCTGTTGTGCTCTCTTTCCATGACTGAGTGCCTGGCTTTCAGAGGGGGGACACCAAAATGACTGGCACAAAGGAAGCTACTTCCAGCACACACATATCCCATGCCGTATGCCACAAGTATCTTTGTAAGTGCAACATAGTTTTATTTTATTTTGTCATTGTAACAAAACTGACTGCACTAGGTTGTGTTGCTCTCTTCTCTCCAGTCGTTTTGGTGTCACCCTGTCTGATGACGTCCCCCGGCAGGGGCTGCACCCGCCACCCCCCCCTTGTGATGCCATTGTAAAAACACAGCACAATGTGGAGGTTCCAAATAAAAAAAAGGGGGACCTAGCTGGAAATTTAAGATAATAGGTGTACATAGTCTATGGGTAGAGAAGGGGTTCAGGAGAACAATTACTTTGATGCATGGAGCTCTGATTTAATTTCATTTTAAAGGATTAAGCCCCACCTTCAGAAAATGTAATCCTACCTCGTGCTTTGTTGAGCCCTCTCCCTGCATTTGTATTCTATCACGAACAGTAGAGGGAGGTTAGCTTCTGCAAGGAAAACTTTTGGGGTTGTTCAGACTGATGTTTGCCGATTCTCGGTAAGAGTCCCAATTCCCTCCCAACCTAACCTCTGCCATAGCTACTGGAAAACTGCAGAGCAGGCCTGACATTTACCCTTCCAAAATAAATAAAACCGCCATCTGTGGAAGACACATCCAAATCCCTATTCCTTCACAGCATTCTACTGATTTACATATTACAGGAATAATTTAAGATGAGCTATTCGTCAACTCCAATGTAAAAAAAAAAAAAAATCAGATCATTCTTTACCTTCTTGTGCAGGGCTGTAATGGTTTGTTTCATCACTTTCCACTTCAACATCATTCACTTCTTGTGAATCATGTACTAAAATAAAACATAGGTAATTGTTACTTCTGTATGTGGTTGAATCCATAATTACATCAATTCATTACACTGGCTTAGCAATAGCCCGGCTCTGTCAAGGTTAGGAATCTCCATCTATTACTACATTCTGAACATTTGCTGACGTGTGATGTATAGTTAATGTGTGGATATAGTCATGTAGAATTACTTGGCTTCAGTTATCAAACCAAGTGAGAGAAAAACCGCCTGTACTAACCAATCAGATCATCTGTTTCACTGCTCAAGTGCAGAAACAGAGAATCAGATTGGTTACTGCCAGCAATACAACCTCTCCTCTCCACACATATCACACATTTAATTGTACAAGATATGCAAGAGCCCGCTATCTGCAGGCCTATGTAAACCCCAACAATGAGCGTCTCTGATTTACCCCCTTTTTTTGTGTTTAATATACGGTTGGAAGGGTTTTGTTATCTTTTTGAAGTGCAAACAAAACATGTTGTTCGTGTCAAATGCAGAGCTCGTCTTCTCCACACTTCCTGTGTTATCTCAAAAAATCCCCCTAGTTCCCATCTTCGGCTACAGAATAATTAGGGCTCATTCACACTTGGTCGCAGTGCGTTCTGGGCCGATTTATCCAGAGCGCACTGCCTCGCATTGCGGGTGGCTCACTTTTTAGTGGGGCAGGAGGGAGCGTGGTGGGCCATTCAAATGAATGGCGCCGTAGCCACGCCCCCCCGGCCGCAATGCGATCCACCGCACGGGATCGCAAGGCACATTGTGCCTGCGGTCCGATCCTGTGCGGTGCGATAAAAATGCTACAAGCACTATTTTGATAGTGCCCCGCCACGCCCCCTC